TGTCCACTACCATTAAGCAAACAATGTGGTAAAACATGACATTCTTATTCCATATTACATTCATAATAGTTTAACACTCCATGGCAGTAAGTAGATAAATTTTTCCAAAAATATGACCATTACAGTTGTCATTTACATAACTTCTGCTTGGCAAAATTAGTAATTCTTCCAATATTTTGTCATTATGTATATTTTATTTCCACATCTCTCCACCTGTTAATTAAAATCTTGTAACACATGACATCCTTATTCCATAACATCACCAGTTCAAATAAAGTGTCATTAAATTCACGCTCCATGACATCATCCATATATTTCTTTCTGAAATTATGACCATTCAATTTGTATTTCACATAACTTGTGCTACAGTATTAATATTTCTTCCAACATTTTGTCATTATGTATCCAACTATCTATCTCCAACTATTTTATAATGCGGTAAAGTATGACATCATAATATTAGTATTACTTCCTGTTTTACATGTTTCCCAATTTGTCCACTACTATGGCAGTCCTCAATTAGTATTTACACAAGCCAAGTTAACTAAATTCATTCCATTTTAGTAGTTTTTCATTCTAAATATGCTATTGTCTTTTCTACAATAGTCTCATCAACTAATACTCTTTGTTTTACATTTTCCCAGTTCCTCCATTATTTTGGCATTTACTATTTAGCTACATACACACACAAATTTGAATTTATATATCACAAATTTACATTCCAAAACATAATTAAAGTTTCACTTGTTTATGACATATATCACACAGAAACTGCCAAATTAAATTTACTATATTCACTCCATTTTAGTATATTCATTGTAAATACTTCCATTGTCTGCTCATAAATACTCAAATGAACAAATACTCCCTGTTCTACACGTTTCTCAATTCATCCACGAATTTGGCATTTCCGCAGATACTACTTACACAAACACACACAATTATCGTTTCTTCCAAAATGTAATCCATCTATTACACAACAAATTCGAATACTATCAGAACTCAAACAACAACTACATTCATACAACATAATTCCATAAATTAAACAAAAAATCAAACAACAAATGCGGAAAATGCCACAAATCAAAAAACAACTACATTAAAAAAACTCTGAATAATTCCATAAATCAAACAAATAAATCAAACAAAAACTACATTAAAACAACATTAGTCATTTCACATCCATTATTCATTTTCGTTTACATTCAAAGACATGCATACTTCGAAAACTTACGAGTACTGGATTCAGTCGAGCGCTCATTCGTCTCGTGCTCTGACTTTGAAAATCATCATCTTCTTCCATCTTAACTGCACTTTTCCTTTCTTCTTCGTTGTTTTTGCGGCACAAAAATGGAAACTCAAATCGAACAACTCCAGGCGCGAGTATTTTTGGAAGTTTTCAATCGCTAGATTTGTGCCGGAATATTTGATTCCATAGTAAATGCGCTAACCGTTTGCTATATTTTCCCCTTTCAACTCCCGATGCTTTCCTTCGCGCTTCGAATTCCACGCGAGCCGCGTTTTATTATGGAGGTCAAAATTGGAAAGAAAGGCACTTTTAAGTCCTACGGAATGGGATTTATTTTTTGAGTCCTATTTGTGCTTATGTGTCCACTTTTAGTCTTAAACGGGTAATTTACTCTAAGCAAAATCAACCAATGCAGTCACTTCAGCCAGAACTTAACAAATTTCAGCATAATCAGTCGATTTCATTATTATCAAATGGGCTGATAATGGGCTCTAAGAGTCCGTTTGAAATTGGATGAGTTGAATGATTCGATTGAAAACTGTGAAATTGTGGTTGAAATATCGATTGAATCTCTTGAATATGAAAAAATTATAGCGTGAACTCTGAAGACTAGAAGAAACTAACAAAACTACCAATCCACTTATCCACAAGTGCATAATATGAGCAAAAAGATAGTTAAGGTTCTTAACATTTTTCAATAATCATCGTTCAAGAAAAAAAAAATTCAATAATCCGTCTATAAATATACAAAAAGTGACTAGATTTTCTAAAGTTCGACTCCGTTCCATTTTACAGGTACCATTTACTTTTTAAACCGATTATAAAGAGACAATGACACTTAGCTCATTTTCTTAATTGACTAAATTTTAAAACAATAATGCGCAAGTTTGCAATGGTAGAAAATTGGTCAAGTCAAATAGAGGAATTGGATATTGGTGAATTGTACTCGAATGGTTCAATTTGGCCCCTCAACTAAACAAATCTTTAATTGGCACTCTAAGCTCGATAAGAAGATTCAAAATTCACTTTTACAAGTTACCAAGGTGGTTAAAATCTCGATTTAAATCGTAAAATCGTACGATTTTATGATTCTACAATAATAAATCGATTCAAATCGCAGGTAAAATCGTAAAATCAAAAAATCGTACAAAATCGTAACAAAATCGTACAAAAATCGTGTAGAATCGTATAAAATCGTATCAAAATCGTAGCAAAATCGGAATAAGTTTTTTTAGTGAAAATGGTTCAAATTTATTAAAATTAACTACTACAAATTGATACAAAATTTCAATAATAATAACATCAATAGTATATTTAAAAAAGTATTGGATTCTTGTGTTATTTAATTATTTTTATGTTTTACATATGTTTAATGTTATTATTCACTCTATTTACAATATAAAAATAGTTTATAAATCTTGTTTTTGACCTTGTAGGTATAGTGGTATGTAATAAAATGACATAATACCATTAACTTGCAACTTAATTTTAATATTTATTTATTTTATAATTATTAAAATATGTTTGATAAAATCTTACGATTTGCGATTCGATTTTACGATTCGATTTTCAAAAACATCTACCGATTCGATTCAAAAATGCGATTTTAACAACCTTGCAAGTTACACCCGATCACTGCCACATTACTTTGTAAGATGTTAACTGTGCATGTGACGTGAAAACTTATGGATCAAAAATTATGAAAGAATGAAAATATAAAATATAAAGTATAACATAATAAAAATACAAGTCGAGAATATAAAATATATAAATATAAAATATTTTCGGTAAATGCAAAATAAAGAAATAAAATTTTAAACTAAAAGAAATTAATTCTTGAACTTTATTTCCAAATCATATATTTATATTTTTTTGAAAAAATGTATGTGTACATAAAACACATATGTGTGTGTGTTAGCGTCTACGCACACGCACATGATTGTATATATTAGCTTACTTCATAATTCATATATGGAGTGTTTGCAATAGAGAAAACACTGAAAGATAACCAGTGTCTAATTTAAAACACTAGTTTGAAATTGTTGAAATAAAGAACTGCTTTTCTTCCCGTGTGTATGAAAAGTAAAAGTTGATAGTGTTTGGTAAAATATGTGTTTTTTGTGTAATAGAAAACGTAAAAAGTGGTTTCTAACTTTTAACTTTTAAACATTTAATAAGTAGAATTTGTCACTTGAAAACACTATTTTCAATTTTTTTAAACCAAAAGCCGAAAATAACATTATTAAGGGTTTAGGGGGTAAATTGAACGATTCGTTCGGGTTTGGGGGCTTATTTTACCCCTTAAATTGCCACGTCAGATGCGCAGTTGGCACTTTAATGAATTGCGTGGCAGTAATCGAATCATGGCCTGCAAAAGTGAAATTTGAATGTTTTTATCGAGTTTAGGGTGTTAATTGGATCTTTTATGAGTTTAGGGAGTAAATTGAGCATTCTAGACGGGTACAAGGACTTATTTGAGCCTTTAGCCTACATTTTTTTCCTGCATAGACAACTGTCTGTATACAGATAGGGATGGACCGGGCCCGGTCCGGTTCCGGGTCGGGACCGGGCGGGCTTGGTTTTTTTGGGGTGAAGCCCGACATTGGGCTGGGAATCTACCAGGACCGGGCTGGGCTGGGACCGTTTTGGGACGGTTCTTTTAATTTTTTTTTAGATTTTCTTATTTATTCCAACCCCCCAACCCCCGCCAAAACACCCAGCCCAGTCCACCTACCATAGGACCAAACCCAAAAAAACAAAAAACAGGCCCAGACCGAACCCGGACCGGCAGGGTCGATCCCTATTTCCCAAGTCCCAGAACTGCCCCCTTAAATTCCCCGGGTCCGTCCTAGGCCCATAAACGGTCCCGGTCAACCGGTTCGGTCCGGCACAATGGCGGTCCGGTCCGGTCCGGTTCCTGGGCCAGTCAGACCGGAACCGGTCCACCCTTATATACATACCTTTGTTTTTCGTGTGTTTTGCAGAAAATGAGAGGGCTAGGTTGCATGAAAACTATTATTGTCTACGTACACAAACATTAGTTATTTGTATGTAGAAAAAACTGTCTATCTCATTCATTTCATTTCATTCATCATTACCAGAGTGTCGTAAAGGCTTACCTGGGTGGGGTACGGGGGGTCGGATGTACGCAGCCTTACACCTACATTGAAGAACATACAGACTGTTCGGGATGATCTGTGGTGAAAGTTGCATGGACTGGCTGTTGTTTTTTTGTCTTGTTTTACTCCAGGGGGTGTGTCTGGGGGAGGGGGTCTGGGGGTCCTGGAGTAAACTGGGTTGAAACCGAATCCATTGAGTTTCGAACTCGAGACCTCCCATAAGGGAGAGAGTGTTAGCGACCAGTTGAGCTGGACCACTTCCTCATGAGTGACTATTGCTTCATAACAAAGAAGTGCAGACAGTTTAGTGAATCGTTTTGCTTTATTACACCATATTTCCAAACCAACAATTAATGAATCTATTAGATATACTTTAAATAGACTACCTTGTAATAGTTTTAGCTATTAATAGAGTCTCGGTTTAGTCAGTTGAGCTTGTTAATGACTTAACCAACTCTCTCTCTCTCTCTCTCTCTCTCTCTCTCTCTCTCTCTCTCTCTCTCTCTCTCTGTATATATATATATATATATATATATATATATATATATATATATATATATATATATATATATATATATATATATATATATATACGTACTACTGCTTCACTTGATATCAATACTACAATTCTCATTTTTCTCAATCTCTCTCTGTTATCTTTCTAATATGGTATCAGAGCTTTAGCTCGATCCATCTATGGCTATTACCGATGATTCCTCTCAAACCTCCAACAGAAATTCTGGAAATTGCAGTTTTCCGGTCACCTTTGCGCATCCTCTTCCGATCAAGCTAGACAGAAACAATTTTCTAATCTGGAAACATCATGTTGAATTTGTAGTTCGAGCGCACAAATTACTTCGTTTCATTGTGAAAGCTAATATTCCGAAGCAATTCAACACTGGTGATGACGAAGCAGCTGGCAATGTCAATGAAGCTTTTTCCATATGGGAGCAACAAGATTAGATGTTGTTCTCCTGGTTGCTTGCCTCGCTTTCTTAGTCACTTCACGCTCGAGTGATTCATTATAGACATTCGCATCAACTTTGGAGCGAAATCACCAGTTTCTTTCAAGCACATATCATCGCGAAGGCCAGGCAACTCAAATCTGAGTTGTGTAACACTTCTAAAGGTGATCGCACAATCTCAGAGTATCTTCTGCGTATTCAAACCATAGCTGATAATCTTTTGTCGATCGGAGAACCGATTTCTGCTAGGGATCATATTAATGTCATACTTGAAGGCTTACCTGAGGAGTATGAGTCTCTAGCTTCTTCTATCTCAGCACGGAGTATATTAGATACTCCTACTCTGTCTGAAGTTGAATCTCTTCTAGCTACGAAGGAAATGAGATTGAAGAAACTTCATGATTCATCACAGTCTACAATTTTCTCTGCAAATGTTGCTCGTTTGCAATCATCTCCTTCAAATAATTTTGTTAATGAAATTCCTGAATCTGAATCTTCAGAAGGTCCTTCTGCTCAGGTTGCAGAATTCAATCCTCCTCCTATCACTGATTCCTATAGAGGCAGGGGTCGTGGAGGTCCTATGAGAGGTCGTGGTGGTAGGAATGGTGGTCGTAGTTCAGGGATATGTCAAGTCTGCGGTAAACCTGGCCATCATGCTCTCATTTGCTATCACAGGTTTAATCCTTCATACACCAGCTCATCTCAGTTCCATGCAATTCAGAATCAATATTTAGCCAATTCTCAGGCCTATCCTTCTATTCAAAATCCTGCAATCATCCCATATCAAACACCTTACCCTTCCAACACTTCAAATTATTCCAATCCTAATCCACAACCTCCCAACTGGCCTCCACAGCAATCCTACAATCCTGTACCATTTCAGTCCTATAATCCTAACTCCCAATCATCAGCTTCTCAGAATCCTGTGTCATTCCAAAACCAGAATACCTACACTCCTTCACCTGTTGTAGCTTCTCATAATGCCTACATTCCCTCACCTACTGCAGCCTGGGCTTCTGCATCTCCTTCCATATTGGGACCACCTCCATAGCCACAGATTTGGTTTCCAGATTCTGGTGCAACTCATCATGTGACAGCTGATCCAATCAACCTGCAACACAGTGAACCACCTGTCAGTACTGACAAGCTTTTTATGGGCAACGGTCAAGGTTTGGAAATTAAGTCCATTGGTTTTACTTCCTTTCCCTCACCTTATTAGTCTTCTTTAGCCTTATCTCTAAATAATATTCTACATGTTCCCTCAATTACTAAGAATTTGTTAAGTGTCAGTCAATTTGCTAAGGATAATCATGCATTTTTTGAGTTTTATCCTTATGAATACTTTGTTAAATCTCAGGATTCTAAACAAATCCTGTTACATGGTATCCTTGGAGAGGATGGTCTCTATAGGTTTCAATCTGTTCCAGCTCTTGGTTCACATCAAAATACTGCAGCAAAAAGCTCTTCTTCTGTGTCACAACCTGTTCCAACTCCTTCCAGTCTCAGCTGTTCTAGCACTTTTTTATCCACTTGTAATAATGTTAAGGCTTGTAGTCCTTCTAAAACTTGTAATCTTTGGCATTTGAGATTAGGACATCCTCATTATGAGGCACTTAAGTCTGTACTCCATCTATGTAATGTTTCACCAATCAATAAAAATGATGTTTCATTCTCTTCTGCCTGTTGTATGGGAAAAGCACATAGACTGCCTTCATCTAACTCTACAACTGTTTATCACAAACCTTTTGAACTTATATTCACAGATTTGTGGGGACCAGCCCCAATCTTATCCTTTAATGGCTATTCTTACTACATATCTTTCATAGATGTTGTACCAGATTCCTTAAAAGAAAATCTGATGCTCTTCTTGCCTTCACAAACTTTTATAACTATGTGCAAAATCAGTTTTCCTCTTCTATAAAGTCTGTTCAATCAGATTGAGAGGTGAGTTTAGATCCTTTACCACATTGTTGTCTGAAAAAGGGATAACTCATAGAGTCATTTGTCTACACACACACCATCAAAATGGTGTTGTTGAGAGGAAGCATAGAACCATTGTTGAAAAAGGACTTACACTTCTCTCTCATTCTTCTATTCCACTTAAATTCTGGGATGCTGTATTTGCTACTGCAGTTCATCTCATTAACAGAACTCCCTCTAAATCCATCTCTAACTCTAGCCCCTACTTCAAACTATATGGTTCTATCCCAGACTATGCATTTCTTAAAGTGTTTGGATGCTCTTGTTATCCATTCATTCGACCATACAACAAACACAAATTTGATTTCCACTCTGAAACATGCATCTTTCTGGGTTATTCTTCTACTCACAAAGGTTATAAGTGTCTTTCTCCTTCTGGAAAGATTTATCTCTCTCGAGATGTTATCTTTCATGAGTCAGAATTTCCCTACCAAACTCTTTTTTCCTCCACACCAAAATCATCCACTGCTTCTTCCCCTCCTATAAGTGCTCCCCTCTCAATTATGAACACATTCACATCTCCTTCACAATCCAATTCTTCTTCTACTAACTCTACAAACCAAAATGAGTCTTCTTCTCCTTCCACTGAATCTCAGTCCACTCCAAGCAATCAAGGTCATCACTCATCTGAGTCTCAGCCCAACTCTAACCATCACAGTAATCAAATTTCTGAATCTCCTGAGTCTCAGTCCAACCATAATGCTCAGTCATCCAAGTCTCACTCCACTCCTCATGCTCAGTCCTCTTTTGAATCTCAGTCCAAACTCACTCCACTTACCAATGTTCATCCCATGAGGACAAGGGCAAAGTCAAGAATTGTAAAACCAAGGCTTAATCCACCCTTACTGTTAGCTCATACTGAGCCCAGATCAGTTAAACAAGCTCTATCTTCCCCTCAATGGCTGGAGGCCATGCAGAGTGAGTATAATGCTCTAATGATCAACAAAACCTGGTCTCTTGTACCTTTACCTCCTGATAAACAAGCAATAGGCTGCAAGTGAGTTTTTAGAGTCAAAGAAAATCTTGATGGTTCTCTAAACAAGTACAAAGCAAGGTTGGTTGCTAAGGGGTTTCTCCAAAAATTTGGTACTGACTTTGGAGAAACTTTTTCTCCTGTGATCAAGCCTGTTACTATGAGGGTCCTTCTTACACTTGCTGTATCAAACAAGTGGTCTATTCAGCAACTTGATGTCAACAATGCCTTCTTAAATGGAGTACTTGATGAAGAAGTGTACATGGTGCAACCTCATGGGTTTCAAGCAGAAGATACCTCTCTTGTCTGCAAACTGTATAAGTCCTTGTATGGGCTTAAACAAGCTCCTAGAGCTTGGTTTCTTAAACTTACCTCAGTTCTATATAGTGTTGGTTTCAAACAAAGCAAGTCTGATCCTTCTCTTTTGATCTATCTGTCTTCTGGTGTTCAGATATATATACTGATATATGTTGATGATATCTTGGTGATTGGCAATCAACCTTCTGCCATTAATCAACTCATTCATAAGCTTGACTCATCTTTCTCCCTGAAACATCTGGGAGATTTGGATATCTTCTTGGGGATAGAAGTACATAAATTGTCTGATGGTGGCTTACATTTGTCTCAAACCAAGTACATTAGAGATCTACTTCATCAAACTGGTATGATTAATTCTAAAGGGGTAAGTACTCCAATGGTCAGCACATGTAAACTCATTCAAGAGGGCATCAACTATCTTCCTAATCCTTCCTACTACAGATCTGTTGTGGGTATTCTACAGTATGCCACCTTGACTAGACCTGAGATATGCTATGCTGTCAATAAGGTCTGTCAATTTATAGTTAAACCCTTACAAGAACACTGGCAACCTGTTAAACACATCCTCAGATACCTATCAGGCACTGATACACATGGGCTTGTAATCAAACCTCTTCCCTTATCCTCCATGCCTCTTCCCATTTCAGCCTACTGTGATGCAGGTTGGGCATCTGATCCTATAGACAGAAAATCCACATCTGGTTCTTGTGTTTTTCTTGGTCCCAATATCATTTCATGGTGGTCAAGAAAACAACTTAGAGCTGTAAGATCTTCAGCTGAGGCAGAGTACAGGAGTCTTGCTGATACTACTGCTGAACTATTATGGATTCAATTTCTTCTCAAAGAACTTCAAGTACCTTTCTCCACTCCTAAAGTCTACTGTGATAACCTCAGTACTATCCAGCTTGCTCATAATCTAGTTTTACATTCCAGAATCAAGCACATGGAAATTGATCTCTTCTTTGTCAGGGAGAAAGTTCGGTTGAAGCAGCTACAAGTCTATCATATTCCTTCACACTATCAAATTGCTGATATTCTTACTAAACCATTGTCCAGCTCCAGCTTTGTTGCTCTAAGAGACAAACTTAGTGTGATCAGTACCCCACAACAAGTTTGTAGGGGGGAATATTAGATATACTCTAAATAGACTACCTTGTAATAGTTTTAGCTATTAATAGAGTCTCGGTTTAGTCAGTTGAGTTTGTTAATGACTTAACCAACTATATATATATATATATATCTGTACTGCTGCTTCACTTGATATCAATAATACAATTCCCATTTCTCTTAATCTCTCTCTATTATGTTTCTAATAGAATCTTTGGCTTCATTGCAAATAATGGACATAAAATGTCTAAATCCATTAAAAAAAGAGAAAAAATGCTATATAACCTTTAAAAATAGGCCACTTAAGGTTAGTAGCCTCTATTTTAATTAATAAACTAGATAGCACTTATTTTGTTAACTTTAAACCCGTAGAATTTTAGATACCCTATATAACCTCCATCCATCATCTTGTATACAAATATAAGCGGACGTTTTATATAATCAAGTAATGGTGCTAACTGCTAAACGAAGGTGTTAACCGCATGGCATTCGTTGATTCCAATCGTTCAACAGAAACCGGCAAAGCTGTCCGGCACATATATACTCATATCGGTAATTACATCCATAGTGTGCAGATTGAGATGAAAGAAAGGTTAACTTTTTGATGGAAAAGTGCATAAGTTGGAATTTCAGACTTCACCAAATAATCATTAATTCATTATTGTCTTAGAGTTTACTGAAAGTATTCTTCGTAGTTACTAAAACAAGAAGTAGATTAGGAAAATGCCCAAGGACCAAATAGCGTTTGCCTGCTTGCTACATAGAGGCGTGATCCCTCGATACTCAAGGAGTTTGCGGATTTATCGGCATATTAACGGTTGAGAAACTATCATTAGGTTATCTAGCTTATTTTTACTAATTCATAACATTAACTTAAAGTCATCTATTTAATTATGTATATATACCCATTTTTCTCAAAAACAAAATTATTTGTTTACATAAACATTAGTTTTCCTACCACTCAACCCTAACTTCTCTACCACATTATTTTGTCCTGTGTATAGACAACTAGTGTTTTACCCGGGCGTCGCCCCGGGCGGAAGTTGTGAATGTTTGAATACTTTGTAAGATATATATTTTATAGAATATATAAATAATTAATCGTTTTACTTCAAATAAATTTTTGTTGATTGTGAATAGTAATTTAACTAAACAACATATATTAAAAAGTGACATTGTAATGTAACACTGACATACCAAAATCACATTGTTAAGTTAGGTTTAAATTGGGAAACCTCTTTATAAACGACATTCACCGTGTTGGTGAAAAAATTTGTTTGTTTTGAACATATGAATATCTTAAGATATCTTTACGCATTACGTACTCTTGGTATTGCGATGTACAATTGGTCATTAATGAAACTTCTCTTTCAAGGTATAAATCATATTTTATGTGTTAACATTTAACCTTGACCCTTTTTTGGCAAAATTTAGCCTTCACTTTTATTGATTGTCATTGAAAAACTTACCATCATAAGAAATTGCTTTATTCGAAAATTGAATAAAGTTGTCATATGGTGACAATGGGATTTTTAACATGTAAACTTTATCTTTCATAACTATTCAAATCATGACTTGTCATACTTCTTATTTCAATCTGGTTATGACCAATTACGTTTTATTGAATAAAACTTATGCATGATTAATATTCCTCAGTAACATTATCGGGGGCTCCGATTTTCAAATGAAGGACATGGTTGGGCAATCCAACCATTGAAGCTTTATTAGGATATTCGACATTGTTACATATCATGGAAAGTAGTACCAGTGTGTGAAGGAATAATATTAATTGAACTAAGATATGTAACTCCTAGATCATCGATCAACAATAGCATGTAGTTAGTTACTCATGATGTGTACTGGTGTAACGTCTAAAATATTAGAACATGCCTCGTGTATCAGCACATCTTCATCCTGCCCTATAATCAAAGACGTGCGCGATATGCAACAATTTTGTCTTCACACTTCCTTGATGAATATTGTAGGTAGTGCGATAATATTTATGGAAATAGGAAATTAAATGATGAGTTGGAATTAGCTTTAATAGTAGAAGACGTAGATGAAATTTATTTAATATATATGACGAATAATAATTACTTGCATTGTGCATTTTCTACATATTTTTAGACCTCAATGTGCTCTTGTGATTCCATTTATTGAAATAAAATGATACAAAATCAATATATA